TAGGTGGTGGTCACCTTTAAGTTGTGGGTCGCTGTGTCGCGTCTGGAGTGATCCTATTGCATGATCATCTCTAGTTTTTTTTCTCATGTAAAGGTCTTTCTTTGATTATTATCATTATTAATGTTGAATGATAGCATGTTCCTAAGTCTTACATGCTAATACCCTCATATACAAACATGTCCTCCTCTACAAATTATTATTTACAAGCACAAAAATTACTTAAGATAATTGGAAAAAATCAGACAAAACCTGAACTTCTCACTAATTAGGCTATATTTGTTGTAACAGTCAAAATATAACTCTTTGTCTATAACAGCTCATGAATGGGAAGTGGGACATGGCTTCATCCAGGCTGTAATCTCATTACAGCACCTCACTCCTACAGACTGTACGCTCAATGAGGGATTATGTTTAAGATATGGAATTCACAGCGGTGCAATTCAGCTCTGCTTCCTCTATAATGCAAGATGCTCTTGCACTGCATGACGGCACAGTAGCTAATTACTTTTGTGCTCCTGGTAACCTTTCTCTTCCTCTTGTTGTTGTAAGTGGCGCCTGTTGAAAGGCGTGAGCGAGCATCACCTCTTGACCCTGTTGCTTCTCTTTTCCTTCCACCATCTCAGAGGTGTTGTTGAGAACACGTGTGAGTCTCTGAGTTTTACTCTGGTGGTAAATCACTCTGATTACCAAGTGCTGATATTACTAATGAGCTGATCTCTTGTTTCATGTTACCTGTAAGTGGTCACGTCCCACTGAATCAATGCCTGCGTCAACAGCAGGTAGTGGTTGGTGTTCATTTCGCACCACCTGCCTGCTGTACAGAAAGATCTCAGCCACAGAAGATTTCACAACAAACCAATGATTAAGATGTCGCAGTTGCCGCAGAAATCCCATAAGTGCAGCTTTATTTAGGATTCCAGTAAAATCTATTTCAGTACAATAAACAACAGGACATGATTATCTTGCACCAAACATGCTGCTGCTTTGATGGAGGACGTAAACAGGTAGTGAATTAGCGGTGGTGATGGAGATGGCATTTGGGCACAACTGCAGCTCACATAAACATGCCAAGAAGAACAATCTCAGATATTTTCAGCTCATGTGTGAAATACGTAATCTCAATGTTTTTCCATTAGTCTGTCTGAGTGTGAGAACATCCCAGGATCAAAAGAAGAGACAAGTTCTGTTTTTTTAACAATGGTTGAATCACACAAGGATTTTCCTTCCTCATCTTTTAAGCTTGGCTTCTTAAAATAACCGAGGATCTTTTTTTATTTTTAAATATGTACTGAAGGATCAAGTCTGACCAGAATAAGCCGGTCTTTGGGCTTTGTAAGGATGAAAATTAAAGATGGATTTTCAATTCTTGAATTGAGTTGGATGGAAGATAACAGCCAAATTAGGAACAAATGACAACAAAATGTGAGGAATAAGAATGACAGAAAGCTCCCATTACAGTGTTTCATGATTGCCTGAGCTTTGGTTTCACGCCATGCTTAATGCAAAGACAGAACTTAATTGTTATATGTTTACATTTAAATAAAACACTACATACAAAATGCAAAACTTGTGCTGGTTCTTGGACAAGCACATTAGTAAAAACTCAGCATGTGTTTGCAGCCTCGCTGTTTTGGTAGTAGTAAAATAAGGTGAGCAGCATTGCGACATAATTAGTAATCATTTACCACAACATAAAAAGCCGTTAGAGAACCTGTATGGCAGTTTCTGAGATCACAGAGGAGGCCCTCAGGCCTGTACTGTTGGTATTGAGTTAACTGTATTTTTTTTTTCCTCTTGGATTGCCACCAAGTATTTGCTTTCTGTATTTTTATTAAGATCTTAACTTACAAATTAAACTTGTCAGTGAATAAAGAAATTTGTTTATGTTAAAGGTAGAGTGTGTAGGATTTAAGGGCATATGTTGGCAGATATATTATATAATATCATATGTTTTCATTGGTTTATAATCACCTGAAGATAAGAATCGTTGTGTTTTCATTACCTTAGAAAAAGGAGTCCTCTTCCATGTTGTTTCTACAGCAGCCTAGAAGGGACAAACCAAATGCTGGCTGTAGATAAAGACATTTGCATGTTTGCATTTTCACGTAGATCACCCACATGATTGGCACATGGGAGAAGTTTAAATTCTGCAGCCTCACCTCTAGATGCCAAAAAATCCTACACACTGGAGCTTTAATGTTAAGTTTTGCTTTCCGCAATTAGCACAGAGCAACAACAACAAAAAGATGCAATAAAATACAATGACAATCATTCTGCTTTGTTTTATGTTATTATAGTAATCATATCACTATTTTGCCATCTACCTTATAAAGACTGAGCTTAAATACTGGTACACTGCAGGGTGAATGGGGGCAGGTGGAGGGCTGAGGTGGAAGTGGTGGCAAAATAACTGGCAATCCCTTTTATTCCAGCAGCTGCGCTTTTAGCAGATCTCCATCAAATCTCAGCACTGCTACAGTCACACTACAATGGACATTTCACTACCTGTTGTTGCATGAAAACTTTGCATACTTACACTAAACTGGTTTACTCTAAACACATGCAGCTTGCACGTTTCTATATACTGCCTATCTGTATTTACAGTGTGCATTATACCATGCAGTTCACAACAATATTAATACTTTTTTTTAAGGAATCCTGTTTAGTGACTGTGCAACCAACCATGAAAATTCTGGTATTTTCTATTGTGCATATTTTCAAGTGACTCTGAGATAACATGCAACATGTATTCCCTAAAGATTTCACAATATTTATGTACTTGAATGCCACACTTAGATCTGTTCTTCTGTATGGTGTCGCAATGTGAACAAACAACAACAACTGAGCTGTCTCCATAACAACAGAGCAAACCCCATCCACCAAGAGAGACTGTGAGATGTGGTTGAAAGGCCTGCAAAACTAGTAAGATGTACTTGAGTTAAGATTTATTGTTTCTAAGATCCAGAGTGAACTCATTGAAAGTAACTCTGAATCAGATTTTTTTTTCTCTGCTACACATGGTCATGTGTCTTGTTGGCCAGCAATTTTGTATCAAAGGAGGGGGCGAGGCCAGTAATGCTGATGGCCAATCACAGCAATGGTCTATGAATGATTATTATATTATCATGATAATGATCCCCCCAAACAGCTTGATTCATTTTAATAGATTCACTGACACTAGAGTGTTGGTGGAAAATAATTAAGAAATATTAAAATATTTAAAATATTTATTTTAAAAATTAAAACGTTATTACCATTATTATTATTATTATTATTAATTATTTTTTTATTATTATTATTGTCGTCCTTAATAATTGTTATTATTACTGTTGTTTTTAATTAATATTGATATATTACTATATTATTGTTGTTATTAAATTGTAATAAAAAGAAGAACAATAGTATTTTCAGGCTGCAACCAAGATTATTTTCAAAATCCATTATGCTGCCAATAATTTCCTCGATTAATCAATTAATTGATAATTCGTTTGGTCTATAAAATGTCACAAAATGTAAATAATCAGTTTCCAAAAGTGGTGACGTCAAGGAGCTCTTACTGTCCACAACCTGTTAATAACATCCAACTTATTATCATATAAAACAAAGAAAACCATAAAGTACTCACTTCTGTAATTATGCTCAAAAATGACTTATTATTAAAATAATTTTCTGTCAATGGATTTATCACTTCATTGTTTTAGTCCTCGCAGCCTAATACACCGCAGCCTTCTGTGGGTAATGTATCAGGTCTTTTACACCACTAAGCAGTAAATGCATACTTTTTTATCGCGCTACCACCTGACAGTGGGATCAGTTTGTTGTGTAATCCAATAAGCTCCAGTCCGTATTTCCCCTCAAGCCCATCTGGCTCACTGGCAGGGTTTGTTTACTGGCGGAGAGGCTGGGAAGAAGGGGATCCTACAGGACCTGGGAGACTGTACAATCTACCTCTGTTTGTGGAAGAAGAAAAGGAAAAAAAAAAGAATAAGTCGAAAACTTTACTACACCTACTTTTCTCTCATTGGGATACTCGCTTAGTTGCCGTGGCAGGAGTGTGAACACAACTTGGAGCATATTTGTTTTATTTTTTCTGTTCCCAAACAAAAAAAGAGAAGAGCGGAGTGCTGCGGAGCCACGACCAAGTCTGTCTGTAAGCCGCTCACATAGAGTGGAGGTCTCACTGAAATCTCTGCACTGACTGAAGAGGAGTTGTCGCTTTCGTGCTTTACCAGCTGCCCGGAAAAAATAACCGTATTTCACACGCGGGATAAGTCAACTGTGCTGTTTTATGCTCGCCGCTGAAGGACCTGAAGGGGATTTTTACGAAAGACACGCTAACGTTACGCCACGCATGCCACAACCATCGAGTCAGCAGCAAGCGGCTCCAAAAATTCCTCTAAAATAAGTTAACGGTCACTTTTGCTGTGATTTTCTTCCATGCAACTTGTCTCTCGTTTTAAAAATCATGCGCTGCATCTGCGTGGTGTGTGTGGGGTTTCTTAAACTTAAATTTAATTGAGACAGTTGCTGAAAAGCAGCGCAAACTTCACTTGTGGCCTGGGCTAGAGTGGCGGAGCCAGGCTAGGCAGCTAGCTAGCTAGCTTAACTGCCACTTGCTAGCAGCAACGTTAGCTTCGTCTCGGCCAACAAGTCTTGTTTTTGCTCTTTTTTGCGGACACGGACGAAGTCAACTGGGCCAGTTTAACCAACCAATGCGTATAAAGACACCAAAAGAGTACTCATGACCCGTGGTGGTGTGTGTTAACGTTGCTTTTCCATGAGGTGGCTAACTTTAGCAGCAGCAGCAGTGTTAGCTTGTGTTTGACTGAACACGTTGGACTCGTTCCTCCGCCCATCTTCCGGGATGTCTTTTATTTATTTTTGTTTACCTGTTGGCCCACGCCGCAAAACAAAACCAATCTCCTGAAGGTATTTCTTCTCCAGTTTGAACTGTCCTCTTTGCCAAGGATTATTCTGTATTTGACCCGGAATAGTGCTGGATGGGGTCTTATTCGGAGTCAGTTATGTGGCTCCGGACTTTGTGTTTTGTTTTGACCGCTGTCTGCTTTTTGATGAGCTGTCATCGAGCGAGTGCAGAGAGTAAGTAACACTTATTATAACACTTTATCATACTTAATATTAAGCATTTTAATTATGTAAAATTGTTTGAATACGTGGCTTGTTGAACTGCGCCACTGCTTGTGTATACACTTAAGAAATGATCAATTCTGCAATAAATTAAGGACCCAGAAATTAAAAACTGCAGACACAGACTTTAATTTGATTATAAAAAAATGTTTGTGAAATATTACACAATTATCTGTGTGTTGTACATGAGGGGATTAACACTGTAATCTGAAACCCATTACATATTCTTTTGATTGTGCCAAGATAATGGGAAAATCAATTAAACTGATTTATTGTATTATTTTAATATTTTGATTGAGATACATTGTCATATGCATGTAGAAGCCAAATAATGTGACATTAATTAACTTTCAGCTACATATATATATGTATATATATATACATATACACACACGT